TCGCACAGGCTAGAGTGGAATGATGCGAGGCTCACTGCAACCTTCGCCTCACGGGTTCAAGCGAGTTGCCTGCCCCAGCCTCCAGAGTAGCTGGGATTACAGGCACATGCCACCACACCCGGCTGATTTTTGTATTTTTAGTAGAGACAGGGTTTCACCATGTTGGCCAGGCTGGTCTCAAACTCCTGACCTCAAGTGATCTGCCCACCTTGGCCTCCCTATATTTTTCATTTTTCATGGCATATGGTATCTCATTATGTTGATACATGTTGTTAAGTTTCATTTTTGCTTTTAGCTTTTCCTTACCACGTCAGTGAAACTGTACATCTTATTCAAAACACAGGAATCTGTATTTTAGCACCCCTGGTAATTTCTGAGATCTAGTTAGAATGACACTATGGCCAGGGAATGATTCACCTTGAGGCAGCATCTTGCCTGCCCAGCTGACATTACATATGCCGTTAAATAATGCCCTGCTGGCCTTCCATACCCTCATACTCCTTCCCATCTCTTCTTGATGAGGCCTTAGGTACAGTTTGAGTATCCCTTATCTGAAATGCTTGGGACTGGGAAGTATTTCTGATTTTTTAAAAATGTTTGGAATATTTGCATTATATGTCAGTTGAACGTGTGAAAATCCAAAAATTGGAAACTAGAAATGTTTCAAGGAACATTTCCTGTGAGCGCTAGACAGGAGCTCAAAAAGTTTTGGATTTGGGGTTTGGGGTCCTCAACTATGTTGTTTTCTGTCCCCATTCATGATAAATCATTGCCCTTGCAAGTGAGCCAAGGTGGGAATGAGTCTCCACAATGTTTTAAATCTAACCAGGACATACTTTTCTCTCTCTTATTCCCAAATATGCATTGATTTGTCAGTTGCTCTTAGGGAAAGGAAAAGGAAGTCATTGATTTTTTTTTTTTTTTTTAATAGACAGAGTCTTGCTCTGATGACCAGGCTGGAGTACAGGTGCATGATCTTGGCTCACTGCAACCTTGCCCTCTTGGGATCAAGCAATCCTCCTGTCTTAGTCTCCCAAGTAACTGGGACCACAGACATGCACCACCATGCTCAGCTAATTTTTTTTTTTTTTTTTTAAGACTTGTCTCAATAAGAGACACAGTTTTGCTATGTTGCCCAGGCTGGCCTCGAACTCCTGGGCTCAAGCAGTCCTCCTGCCGCAGCCTCCCAAAGTGTTGGGATTATAGGAGTGAACCCCACTATGCCTGGCCTTGCTTCTAGTATGTTCAATGCATGCTTAAGTATATTTGTTCTTATATTTTAAAAAATAAACTCTAGTGCATGGAAATAAACATTTATAAAATGCATATAAATTAGAGACTTCAATTTAAAAAAAGATTACAGGGTTTTGTTATTAAGATCTCCTGTTATATTTTAAGTGATTCAATTCCTAAGAATATACCTTGTAATTATATATATATATATTTACAGCTTTTTAACTTAAACTCTCATGAACTTGAAGCAAGTTTGTTGCACATTTGAACCAAGGTTGTTCTATCAGAAATCCATGTTTTTGTTGCATTGTGCTTTGGGCCCCTGAGGAATACTCACTGAACAAACCTGTCAGTCCATTATTGAAACTACAAATCAACTTTTTGGCTTCATTTCTAGCAAACTATAACAAAATAGTTGTCCTGATTTTAGACCCAAAAGAGACCTAGTCTGTTTGGATGGCCGAAGTCCTGAGGGAACTGAGATAACCGTTGCAGAGAATATGTTAATATGTTAATGTTGCTTGGTGAAGAGTGGGTTGTGAGGCTTTTTTTTTTTTTTTGTACCAGTGCAGTAAGTCTCTTGGCTAAGTGTCATCTGACTTTTAATTCTCATCAAATGTCTTTGTGTTATATTTCCTTGTGGTTTGATCTGTGATAACCTCTAGATAATCCTGAATGGAAATGTTCATTTTCTCTAGTTCTTTCCCAGATAGATGGTCAACTCCCAGATCCCCCGTCACCTCTGTATCATTTCATTGTAATAATTTTTCTTTAGCCCATATTTCTTCTTTCTCTTATTCTAATTAATTACATAGAAAAAACACAAAAGCATAACTGAGAAAGGAATGATAAAAAGGAATACATAAACCTTTGTGTCATCCTTTGTGAAGTGAGAATCTATATAATTATTTTCACTCTTTGTATTATTAGCTATCTAATTTGGAACCACCATGTTTCTTAGCAGGATGGTTTGCTCTGTCCTGACAAACCTGCTTATTTAATTAATAAAATCTGTTGTAGGTAATTCAGTAGCATATTCTTTATGACCAAAATAATAATAAAAAGCAAGTGTTTCAAAACTTAGTGCTGTTTAAATCAAACCATTTTTGTGCACGTATTTACAAGCAAAGTAGCTTGTGTGTGCTATCTGATTTCCTTCCAGTGTATCATCTGATCTTCCAAATAAAAATAGCCCCTTTCTGTTTTTTGTTGTCTATTTAAAGTTAATCGGAATATATTTTAAGTAATGTGTCTAACAAGTGGCCGAAAACTTTATTTGGAGGGGTTTTTGCCAAATCCTTTGCATGATGGTACGTGTTTGGTTGTGTATTTTGAGTTTTACTGTTATCTATTGTAACTCCTGAAGCATTTGATGCTCCCATGCTAAATTATTAATTTTGATTATTTTCCTTTTAAGAGTCTTGGGAGGCCAGGCGCGGTGGCTCACGCCTGTGATCCCAGCACTTGGGGAGGCTGAGGTAGGCAGATTACGTGGTCGGGAGTTTGAGACTGACCTGGCCAACATAATAAACCGCCGTCTCTACTAAAAATACAACAACAACAAAAAATTAGCCAGGTGTGGTGGTGGGCGCCTGTAATCCTAGCCACTCTGGATGCTGAGGCAGGAGAATCACTTGAACCTGGGAGGCAGAGGTTGCAGTGAGCTGAGATCATGCTACTAGACACCAGCCCGGGCAACGGTGCAAGACTCTGTCTCTAAAAAAAAAAAAAAGCCTTGGGAGAATTTTCATGACCTTTTCTGGTTGAGAACTAGTGGAATTAGACCTGGGTTTGAAATTCTGTCTCTGCATTCCTTGTCTTTGTGATTTTTGAGCCATGTCCCTGTTCTCCTTTATGTCAAAAGGGATAATGAAAATGCTGACTTCATAGGGTTGTTGTAAGGAATAAATACGATAAAATGTGAAAACTTCTCTACGTATAGTGTGTGGCACAAAGCAAACACTTAAATGTTAGCTTTCATTATAATAGATTAGGAATTGATAGACTTTTTCTATAAAGGGCCAGATAATAAATACTTAAAAATTTTTTTTCAAATTTTTATGTAGATAGAGATGGAGTCTTGCTATGTTGCCTAGGCTGGTCTCAAACTCTGGGGCTCAAAGGATCCTTGCCTTCTTAAATACTGTGTGTGTGTGTGTATGTGTGTGTATTTTCCTTACCTTCTTAAACATTGTGTGTGTGTGTGTGTGTGTGTGTGTGTATGTATACACACCTAGCCATTTAAAGAAACATGGTTTTGTAGGCCAACAATTTGGGCAGGGATAATTTCAGTGATTTGCTCTATATTGTTGCCAACTGGGGTCATTCAGTGGTTTTCTTCCCCCTTACCTAGTAGATGGGTTGCTCTGGACAGTCTAAGATGGCTTGTTCACATGTTTGCTGCCTTGACAAGGCAGGTGGAGGGTGGGCTCAGCCAGGACTATTGATTGGAGCCTCAACACGTGGCCTCTCCAGCATGCTACCTGCTTTTTTTTTTTTTTTTTTAAATGATAAAACATTGCCATTATGAATCTCAGTTCCTGTAACACTTTGATGCCATCAGTCTTTAATGGGGTGTGTGGCACTGTTGCTTGTATTCCCTAGACCACTGCTTTGAGTCTTTTAATTTTTTGTCTTTATAGGCTGATTTTCAGCTTCGGTCTGGAGCACAACATTTGCTGTGTAGGTGACATCTTAACATATTGGGCACTTAATTTGCTATGTGCAAGCTGCCTTACTGGGCATACCCAGGAGCTATTTCAGAAACTTAAAATGCACCTTAAAGAAGTAAATCCTTCAATATGTGACAACATGGATGAACTTGGAGGACATTGTGCTAAGGGAAATAAAGCAGTCACAGAAGGACAAATACTATATGATTCCACTTATATGTGATATCTAAGAGAATCAAGCTCAGAAGTAGAGAGTAGAATGGTGGTTGCTAGGGGATATAGGAAGTGGGAAATGAGACATTGCTGTTCTGCAGGTATGAAGTTTCAGTTATCCAAGATTAATAAGTTCTGCTTTATAACATCGTGCCTATAGATCATATTAATGCTATTGTATATTACACACAAAATTTTGTTAAAACGATATATCTCATGTTAAATTTTCTTATTGTAATTTTTTAAAAAGAAACAACTTTGGAGTTAATCATTTGAGATAAAAAGGCAGTAAAACATCAGAACTTAGTGTTTTTCTGTTTATTTACCCCATCTCCATATTCTTGATAAAACAGTAAATTTTGGGAGGGCAGAGTCTGGGGACAGGCCAGGTACTAGAAAGGGCAGGGTCAGTGATGGGTCCAGTTGCAAGAGGGCCTAGTAGATTTGACTTGAAGCTGTGCTTGCATAATCACTCTGTTTTTGCTTGAATTCTGTTTATCTGGAGTGACTTATGGTATGGTAGCTAAGGCTCCCCAAACTATTCATTGTCTCATTGTTTAGGATTTAGAGGGTCATATGCAGTCAACTCCCCATCACTACTGCCTCTTCTTGGAGTCTCTGGAATGGCTTTTTAGTTTACATTTGTCTTCTTGTTATTTCTCTCCTATCAGCCTATTGACATTTAATACTCTAAGATGATATTTTTTAGTTTGGATGTGTTTACATCATATTTGTGTATATATATTAAAATTTTCAAACCCTTTACTGTAGGTGGGGTAATAGTACCTAGCTCAGAGTGTTCTGAGAATTGCTTAAAGTGCTTCAGAAAATGTTAACTATTACTGTTATTGGATAACCATCTTCTAAACTTCCTTTTTTTAGAAACTGATTCAGCAGTACAGAAAGAACTTAGAAACCAGACACCTGCTCCATCTGCAGCTCAAACTTCTGCTCCCTCTAAGTACCACCGAACTCGATCCGGAGGAGCCAGGGATGAACGATATCGATCAGGTGAGGAGAAGCCACAGAATGGCCAGCTGAATCGTTTTCCTAACTTTAGTATGAACTGCGTATTCTGAGAGCTTCTAATACTTGTTTTTTTTTTGTTTTCTTTTTTTTCCCTTGAGGCATCAACAGGTCTATATTAACTCATTCACCAATCATTTATTTTGTACCCTATTATGTGTCAGATATAGTAGGTACTCAGTAATTTCCTGGAAATGCTGTGGCACATAAGACTGTTTCTGGCTGGGAGCAGTGGCTGACAGCACTTTGGGAGGCCAAGATGGGCAGATCACTTGAGGATAAGAGTTTGAGACCAGCCAGGCCAACGTGGTGAAACCCATCTCTACTTAAAATACAAAAATTAGCCAGGCATGGTGGTGGGCGCCTGTAATCCCAGCTACTCAGGAGGTGGAGGCAGGAGAAGCACTTGAACCCAGGAGGTGGAGGTTGTAGTGAGCCGAGATCCCATCACTGCCCTTCAGTCTGGGCGACAGAGCAAGACTCTGTCTCAAATTAAAAAAAGGAAAAAAAAAAAAAAAGATGGTTTCTGCCCTCAAGGAACTTAATAGTTTAAAAAGAGAGCCAGACAAGGATATAAACACAAACGCCATGTGAATAAATAATAAGAAAATGGAAGGTTGGGTCTCATCGATGGTGCTGGGAGAGCTCAGTGGATTCTATTCAAAGAGGCAGGTCCTTCTGTGTTTGCCAGAGCTGTTGTGTAACTACTCTCTTTTAACTGATGGAGCTGAAAGAAAACTCGCAATGAAATTTCAAATCACTTATTTCTTCTGACCCAAAAAGCACCCATGGGAAAGGAAAGGGCAAGGTGTGCCTGCCTGGCAGCGGGAGCATGTACCAGGTGGCAAGTCCCAGATGTGCAGCTTTGATAAGCAGAGGGGTGGTTCGTAGACCCCCAGAGCACGTGTGGTGCAGCAGGCCCTTCCAATGCCCACTTCCTGTCCATTGCACTGAAAGTAGTCTCTGCAGCACATTTCTTGTTTTAAGAAGTGGCAGAATTAAGCCAGAAGAATAATGGGGATATTATTTATTTTCTTCAGATTTTTGTCTTCTTTGTACTGACCAAGGTTGCCTTAATGTTTTCTTGAGTTGAAAAGCACAGTCGATACCACATTCTCTTAAAAACTGCTTTAGAGAAAATGAGGAGACCGGGCACAGTGGCTCACGCCTTTAATCCTAGCACTTCGGGAGGCCAAGGTGGGTGGATCACCTGAGGTCAGGCATTCAAGACCAGCCTGGCCATCATGGTGAAACCCCATTTAAAAAAAAAAAAAAGAGAGAGAGAAAATGAGGAGAGGACACAGTTCCAGAGCTACATCAGCCATTTTGTCAGCTGATTTTACTAGACAGATATTTTCACACACACAAGGAGAAAATGATGAGAAATCTTCAGTTAAGGAAAAAAAAAAAAAACAGAGGTTGTAATTTTATACCAAAACTGTCTTGAGTGATCAGGAGAGGCTTGCTCAGAGAACAAGACATCTTAAGCTGAGTCATGGTAGATAGACAAGAGTTAGCCAGGGAAATAGTGCTCAGAACTTAGAATGCAAGGGCCAGAAAGAGGTGGGAGATGAGGCTAGAAGGATTACCAGAGACCAGATCTTGGGGGATCTTGAATGTCACTGAAGGGTTTTCAGCAGAGCAGTAACATCATCAGTTTGTTCTAATAGCTCACTCCAGCTGTATACTGGAGTGCCTGGCACAGAGCCTACCATATATAAGAGCTAAACAGATATTTTGCAGAAAGAAGGGAATTGAAGTATTTACTAGTAGGCTGGGTGCTGTGGCTCACACTTGTAATCCCAGCACTTTGGGAGGCTGAAATGAGTCAGGAGTTCGAGACCAGCCTGGTCAACGTGGTGAAATCCCATCTTTACTAAAAATGGAAAAAGAAAATTATCCAGGCTTGGTGAGGCACACCTGTAATCCTAGCTACTCTGGGGCTGAGGTGGGAGGTTTGCTTGAACCTGGGAGGCAGAGGTTGCAGTGAGCCAAGATTGCACCATTGCACACTCCAGCCTGGGTGACAAAATGAGACTCCATCTAAAAAAAATAGTAGTTACTAGTTAAGGAATGGATTAGAGAAAGGGAGGGCTGGAAGTAGCACAGCATTCAGGTGCTCCCCTTTGTTGCCAATCACCTAAGCCTGATTTTCCAGCCACCTAGTGTTGCCTTTTGAGGCTGGAGCCCAGGCTCAGCAGCAGCATGTTCCAGCCTGTCCAGAAGGGTTTTTAGCCTTCACAGCTTTCATCCCTGGCCTTCTGGGAGTTTTTGTGTTGTTTTACCTTTGTTTTTCCAGCATGTAATAAAGGATTATTAAGGAACCAGAAAGGTGATTTCAACATTCTATATCCAAGCCAATCACATGTAAAGAAGTTTTCTGTGAGCTTATTTAGTACTATAAAATTTTGTGCCTCACCTTAATGAAGCCAACTAATGCCTGAGATGGAAAGTGATCTTACTGTAAGTCATTCTAACTCCCTTGATGTTAAAACCCAGCTGTGCTCTGTAGTCCCCGCTCTTTTGCACCATTGCTTTCAGATTACCCCAAGTATTATAAAGTGTATGCTGTGGATCAGATACTAATCAGCTTACTGTGGAGATGGTTGACTAGGTGCAGGTGTACTGGAGAGTCTTTAATAATTTTATGTTTATCTTACTGTTTTTCTGTGTGTGTGTGTGTGTGTGTGTGTGTGTGTGTGTGAGTGTGTCTGTGTCTTTTAAAGGATAGTAACAAGAAGTGGGCCAGACGAGGTGAAGTAGGGGAGAAAAAGCGGTTTTAAAACCCTGAAGATATTGAAAGCTATGAGAATCCTGCAATACCATCAGGAGGGGAACATGAAAAGGGAATGCAAGTGTAGACTTTGGGTGAAAATCAAAATTTTCAATATATTAGGAATTGCTCAACTAAATAGTGAAAGAAGCTCAGCATGTGAAAGAAATAGAGTCTCTGAGAATTCTGGCTTTGAAGAAGAAGAAGAAGAAGAAGAAATCAGCAGGGTGTGGTGGCTCATGCCTGTAATCCCAGCACTCAGGGAGGCCGAGGCAGGAGGATCACTTGTGAAGAGACCAGCAGCAGCTGCAGAGGTGGGGCAGATAAGTAGCGGAGTTTGATGGTAGCTGAACTTGTTTCTGTTTGCTACTGCAGTCATAATTTCCATGTCATGTGCAAAAATAGCTGAAGAATGTAGGGTACGTTTAATAAAAGTTGCAGGAATTCAGAATAAAGTGATGGCTACATAAGAAGGATTTTACATTAATGCTGATGAGTGTAATTATAAAATCCTTTCTTATTTGATGGAGGCTTATTAATACCTATAACATTTCAACCAATCATAATCAAATCTAAGTAGACTTAGTGTTCACATTTCAGACGCAGTATGAATGACTTACCTTTATTCAGAGTTTAGATTATCTGACCTGATTCTGTTCTTTGTGCTTTAGCCAAGAGGGGGCTTACATTTCAAGTATACTACCTTATTAGTATATTTCTTTTTCCTGCACATCCAGGCATGATGTGCCTCCCTGCACACACGTAGTATGGTCTCAAATGTAGAAAACACAAATTAATGCCTGAGATGGAAAGTGATCATTCTGTAAGTCATTCTAACTCCCTTGATGTTAATCTCTTGAGAAGGTAGGTACCTCAAACAAAACAACAGAAATAACACAGGATGTTAAGGGAGTATTCATATCACCTTATTCAGCTCAAACATGAGTACTGGTAAATGATACCCAGCTTCCACATGCTTCTGGGAGACATGTCCAAAGTCAACTGTTGTCTGGGGACTGACCTCTGGAAGTGACTTCTTTATCAAAGATCAAGATGAATTGTGTGCTGGTGAATGAGTCAAATTCAGTAAAGAGAGCTGCCTGTTCTTACCAGTAAGAGTCTTTGCTAATAGATAGCTGAACATCTCCTTTTGACACTAGTGTATGGGTCAAGGTTTATCATGTTAGAAAATAGTTGGGTGGCTTGATTTGTTTTGTGATCTGATGCTATGAATCTTTGTGACAGGGGAAAATATGCTCTTTAATTATTAATTATCTAAATGTTACAGGCCTTCTAAAGCTTACATAATGTGAATAGTTACCTAGCTTTGTCTAGTTTGCCATTACGTGTTTCATATCACATATAAAAAATACTTTTGGAAATATACTGTTTTAATAAATGTGAAAATTTGATTTGCTGTTTGTTGCTGACAAAGTGCTTTCTCAGTAGAAATGATTAATTTTTTTTTTTTTAATGAGATGGAGTCTTGATCTTGTTGGCCAGGCTGGAGTGTAATGGCATTACCTTAGCTCACTGCAACCTCTCTTCCCAGGTTCAAGTGCTTCTCCTGCCCCAGCCTCCTGAGTAGCTGGGATTACAGGCACCCACCACCACACCTGGCTAATTTTTTGTTTTTTTAGTAGAGACGGGCTTTCACCATGTTGGCCAGGCTGGTCTTGAACTCCTGACCTCAGGTGATCCACCTGCGTAAGCCTCCCAAAGTGCTGGGATTACAGGTGTGAGCCACTGCACCTGGCCTAATCATTTATTTTCTAACACAGCTAAGAATCATTTTTCCATCCAATATAAGGACGTTTTTCTCATTTTAACATACCTAAAATCAGAATGTTTTATATAAGATGGCATCATAGATTCAATTAAATATGCAGTCGTGACTCAACTAAGTAAATCCCAAGGATACAGGCAATAAATTGTGTAACCAATATAAATGCAGTATAAAATTATTTTATTTCAGAGCCAAAAATAAGTTGGTAATGTCTTAAAGGTAATAGCCTAACAGTTTGGCAATATCTTTAAAATTTTAAATAGTCATGTTCTTTATCCAGAAATTATACTTTAAGGAATTTATTTTATGTAAACAATCATGTGCACAAAGATGTATACATATATATACAAAGATGTTTGTAGTATTGTATATAGTACAATGGTTAAATAAGTCATAGAATGTTCACACAATAGAATTTTATGAAAG